ATCTATATCTTTGTTATATATATATATATATATATATATATATATATATATATATATATATATATATATATATATATATATATATATATTTAGTATAATTTTATCCTGAAGGGTCTGTGGCCCACCACTTCTTTGTATATATTTGTAATAAAATAAAAAATTACAAAGCGTTTTATGATAATAAGTTTAGCCTATTAATTTAGTAACTAAATAAGAGACATATTGAGTGAAATATTTATTTAAACATTACGTAATAGAAAACAACTTAATAAATAAAATTATTTTGGGTGGGAAGAGATGACGTCATTAGCTGGTGGCGCCAAGAGTCTATAGCCGGGCAGTATGTGGCATTTCATAGCTTTTTTTCCTCCATTTGTAATTTTAACCCATTTGGTTCTTTTAAGTTCAGGGATTACATTTGGTACTTTACTTCGCTTTCCTAATTCTGTATACGCGTACAGTATCGGACTGACCGTACTAGAGACACTAAACTTGAAACTGCTTCTAAACAGAAAAAAGACAAGTAGGCGGCACAATGGCCGATTATCAGGCGTCTTGATCATTAACTGCTAGTACACCATTTTGAACCCTATCCTTAGTGTTTCCATTTGGAAGCACCTCTTCCATTGGTCAATACGAGTATATATTTATGATTCTCTATTCTTGTTCCTATTTTATCACCAATTGATCCTGTATTAATCTATATTTTAGCTATATCATCCCCATCTCTCCTTTATTTATTTATTTCTTCTTCATCACGGACTATTGTTTTTTTTTTTATAAATGTGCCAACTCTTGTTGTAATATATTTTTTAAATTATTGATAATGGGTGAATTATGTAATTTTTTAGTGTCTTTTTAATATGTAATGTTTTTTCTATATTTTAATATCGTATGGCCCATAGGTATGAAACCTGTGGCCTCTATACGTCCATGAAAGGGCTGTGGCCTTCCGCCTTTTTTTTTTTTTTTTTTGCTCCGTATTTATTAATCAAGCACTAGAATTAATTAATATTTAATAATTATAGTTACGAAAATTTGAAAATTAATAGAATGAAATTAAATATTTTTTATGGATACACACACCTTCAATTTTAAATAAAAATAGCAACACTAAAATAAATAAAAAATTGTTGTGATTTGATAACATTATTGCAGTCTCCAATGATAATAAGGTTCCCCATCTATGGTGTAGCATCTTATTTTTCCTATTTTTTTTAGTTTTGACTTTTTTTAGGATTTTTTCGTTTTAAATATCGAAACTATAGTTTTTTGTTATAGTATGTCGTGAAAAAGCTGTTTTATTTACGTTTTCACATATTTAGAATTATTTTTACGCTGATTAATTATGGTTTTATTAATATTTTTTTGTAGCTCTCCCATATGTTTTATCACAACTTTTTCATTCTATTTCATGTATCACATATAGTTTCTGTAATTTTTCAATTTTGTCCTGTAGTTATTGCTATTATACATTCCCAATTTTACGTTATTATGCTCATACGTGATGAGCGCATTTTAGATTATGTTGGTCAAATTTGATAGATACTGCATTTTGTAAAATTTATATAGGTGTGTTTTTCTCTTTCATGGTTTATTTTTTATCTTTTATAATCATAGCTCTCTTTTTGATTATTAATGTATCTGTAATTAATTTTTGGTACAATATTTAACCCGAAAAGTCGGAATAAATTTTTGTTTTCAATTATAAAAACCTAAGAAGCAATACAACTCTTCCTCATAGATTATATATGAAATAATAAGTGAGGAACTATACCCCATTAGCTGAAGTAATTTCAAAGAACATTATAATTTATAATAAACATGGTGATAAAAATTTTATAAATTTTACCAGTGTACTCCCCCACAAGACCCGAAGCTGCAATATGCGACCTAAGAGCTCAATCCTCCCAACAACGTCTTGCTTCACTTTTCCATCAACTATCTTCCTGTCGCCTCAGAGCTAGTTATTGCTTTATCATTTTCTTTCTATATATCGCAAGATCACATGCCTATTTCAGTTGCATGATGAGAGGTAAATATTTTTCGCTGTACTGTATTACCCCGTCTATACTGTATTAAGTCTTAAGATATCTCAGACAAGATATCTATTTTCGAAAATTTCAAAGATTTCAATTTCTAAACTTTTATTTATAAATATTTAATAAACACACAGCTTATCTTATACATAGTACACAATATATGAAATATAATTCCGATTTGGTAATTTAAATCCCTTTTAATCTTACCAAAAAAAAAAATAAAATTAATTGCTAAAATCAATTTTAACATTACAATTAATAAATATAATTTTAAATTTTGAAACTGATTTCTTGTAAAATATATTTATCTGGTGTTTATTCGAAAACGACGAAACCAGTATTTTTGGGCGCACGGCTGTACAAATTTTTTAAGTTCGAAGTATTATTCGGTAAGATCCCTTGAGTATTTTGAAACAATTTGTGCCCAAAACACGAGTAAATTTTTGTATAAACCGTAATATGCATAAAATATATGTATAAATATGTGTGATATATATAAATATATGTATAAAAGATATAATATTGTATTCGTTAACAGTTCACTCTTTATTATTCTTATATATATATTATACAAACATACCGTGGAAGACCTACACAGCCCAAAAATTTAATTATTTTCAACTTTTGGGTAGTCATAATAATCTGATTTTAAACAATCCGCTAAAAGGCTGTTGAGATCTTTCAGAGCACGGCTGGATTTTTAAGTTTGATGGCTAAAATTATTTAAAGGTCTATTTTCGAAACAAAATTTAAAAAATATCATAAATTAAATTGTATACGAATTTGTAATGTTGAATCAGCGTTATTGATTCACACTAATTCTATGATATATATATATATATAAGAGGAGTGGGGTAGCTCAGTGGCAGGGTACTGAGCTTCCATTGTTAAACATCCCAGGTTCGAATCCCGGCTCTTGGCAGGAAAATTATTTATTCTGTTTCATTGGCCGCGGGCCGACCCAACCCTCCTGGGGGGCAACCAGCCTCCATAAAGTGGGTACCCTTGATTAAAAATAATAATCTATGTAGAAAAACATGGCGGTTGAGAGTGATCTTGGTCAAGTCACCTCTTTACACAACCGTAGGCCAAGGAACCAGTGCTTTCCCTAAATAGTTCTGAACCCAAGGCCCTTCATGGGTTGTAGTGGTACAGATCTATATATATATTAGGCTTGAATATATTTTATTATTCAATTTATTTATTATATTCTTCAATATTTTAATTTTATTATTATGCTAGAAATATAACATTTTTAATTCATTTAAAAGAAAAAAACTATTTTCCAGGGTATTTTCCAGGGAAATAGTTTCAATTTTTTGTTTTCGGTAAAAAAAAAATAATGTGAAACTAACACCGATAAATTATATACATGCATGACAATTATAGATTTGTTTATTTTTTACCTCATTTAACTTATGATCATAATTTTGTTTTTGTTTTTTTACGAGGGACATAATATTTATTGATCCATGTTTCAACGAACGAATGATTTATTTTGAATGAACCTAATGATTTGTAAAGTTTAATCCTGTATCTTAAATTGATAAATATTATGAAAACTACACCCCATCGGATTAAACTAATTATTTTGCCTTGGTATTGGTACAAAATCGGATGATTTATCAAACGGAAAATTAGCCCCGGCTCTGTAGCCGGATAATAGATGTAGCGTTGAAGATTTATTCCGTGCTATTTTCGTTGTCGTCTCCTGTAAACGGACTTAATCACTGATTTATTTCTTTATTATTCTTAATTTTTTTTTGGCCATTTTCAGCCACATATATGTAATGTATAAGATATAATAGTTTGTTTGTTACCAATTCAATTTTTCTTATTATCATATATATATATATATATATTATACAGCCAAATATATTATACAAATATATCGTAGAAGGCCTACACAAGCCAAAAATTTAACTATTTTCAACTTTTAAGTAATCATAATCATCTTGTTGAGTACAATCACACCGAAGTGAAAAATCAATAATTTTTAAGTAGTCTCAGTTTTTTCTTAAGTAGTAATATTTAAAGAAATAATTATATACAGATACACACTCAAAAAAATGCCGTTCTATAAAAGTTAAGTTTTAAATTGTACCGATCTTTTTCCAAACAAGCTATATATATTCCTCCTCACCCTCCCCCCCCCAGTATTTTAGAGAAATTGAAAAGAGAAAAAATTAAGAGAAAATTCTTAAAAATCCCAATAAGTTAATTAACTTTTAACGAATAAGTCAATTTTTTTAAATTTTTTAAAAATCTTTTTATAACTTCTGAGAACTGTCGGTGATAATTCTTTTTCATTAGCTTAGCTGTGAATCATATAAACTGAAAATTTAATTTAAACGTATTATTCCTTTTATTCAAATTCTTAATTTCTTTTTATGTATTTTTGTTTATTATAAATTTGATCTTCAATCATTTATTCGAAAACACTTGTTTATAATATTTTATGTAACCATTAAATTGTGGTAAATCTTTTATTTTTTTTCACAATATTACTGTAAATTAGAAAAGATATATATTGACAGCCTAAATTTTTTGTTGAAAAGTTATGAATGATATTTTTTTATATTCGATTTTTTTTGTTTTGTTTTTTGTATAATGGCTTATTTTATAATTATCTTTGTATGTTTACTTGAATACTATACACCATTTCTTCTTTTACAGTTGTAATGAGACGTTAGTGCTGATTTCTTTTAGCTCTTTGTAAACAAAACCACATATTTCATTGTAGGCACATAACATAATTAATAAAATGAATAATTTTAGAAATAGAAACAAAAGAAATCATTGCCATGCACTCTCATGCACGTGCTCAATTCACAAAAAATTGCACATTCTTAAACCAAAATCATGTCACCACAATAAAGATAAGAGGGTAAAATCATGCAAACATGCATCAAAGACCGCGGTCATTACAGGATCTTAGCAAACCAAATAAAATTGAAATCATGCTATTTCTATTTTCTGAAAATTTACCTTGTGGTCCTTCATGCGTATCTCCTGTCGCCTAGGAAGTGGAGATTCGTCATCCGAATACACTAGATTTCTCACAGCCCCTCCAAATCTCGGCTCAAAAATGACGCTTGGCAAAGCCAACAGCGTGAGCTTGGTGTTATACCAGGACGGCATGCCCCCGACGTACACATCCGAGTTGGATGACAGCCTGCCAAAGAAGAACTCCTTACCCCTAGAAGACTTGATCTGCGTTTCTCCATCCACAGTCAGCGACGTCTTTTCGCCGTCCCGCTTGACCTGGACCTTGTGCCAGTGACCGTCAGCGAGGTCGCGGCCTACGGTGAGTATCTGTGCCCCACCGCCAAGGTTGTACCTCAGCCGCAGGGCTCCTTCGACCAACTTGACCTCGAAGAAGTCGTAAGTTCCACCGTCGTCGGTGTATAGGAGTAGGCCGTTGGGCTGTTCGGTCTTGAACTCGAGCTCGAGGGAACCATTGAGCCCGGGATTCCACTTCCTGAACTGCGCGTAAGAGGTGGACGACCCCTCGAGGAGGAAGGCCGAGGCGAGCGGAAGAGCCGCCAGGAAGAGGAGCGGAGACATGCTAGCGGCGGCTCCGACAGTTCATGGCGCCCGCGCTCCCATCGACTGCCCCTCGCCGCCCCTGCCAACCCCCGCCTTCGCTATTTCCCTCAAATTTCCCTCTTTTCCCTCTCCACCCCCTCCTTTCCCGCGCCTGGCGTTAAAAAATATTTTTCCTCATTTTATATTAAATGTATAGACCTCATTTTATATTTAATGAATGAAATAGCCATTGTCTATGTAATATGAACACAATATTTTTTTATAATAATATACATAAATTAATAATTGTACATATGAATTTATAATAACATTCGTGAATTTTAAAAAATCAAAATTCGTCGCATCCATTGAGGGATGAACTGCTATTTATTAGACCTTTCGGGAAATCTTTGTTCATCTCTTCAGCAATCTAAAATAATACAATTAATATACTATAAGTTCAATCATGAACAAGTCACTTTTAAAGAAAAAATACATAACATTTAAACAATTTTTTTCTAAATACACAGAAATTATTTTATAACATTCGTTAAATGTTATAAAACATTTGTTAAAAATCATAATTAACTTACATCTTATTCCTAAAAAAAAATGGGTAAGACACAATAATTTATTAACATTGGTTTAACAGTTAATATGCAACTAAAATGATTATAGTAAAATTATGGTTGTGTGTAGAGGGATTAAGATATTAAATATATTATTTTATAGTTTATAACTATACCTACAACCCTAGTAATTTTGATTTAATAGTTATAATATATTTAATATGAACCTATAATATATTAATTGTATTATTTTATATTGCTGAAGAAGGAGAAAAAGATTCTCCGAAACGTCCAATAAATAACAATTAAAAACTAATTTGATTATTATAGAACTGACCATAAGTCAAGTAATAAGTGTGAAAAGAAATTTAGAATAAAGGTCAACAATGTAAAATATGTTATTAATTTCACATAAAATAATTAGTTAACAAAAAATAACTAGCGGCCGTATTTATGCACCTTCTGAGGAAGTATTACATTACAATACTTGTTAACTTTAAATGCACGCGTTGAGGGCATTATCAGTTAAATTTGAAGAAAGAAAAAATCCTTAAGTATCAGTTACCTTAACAATGAAAACATAAAAAGTTAATTTATAAACAACATTCATTTCTTCCGTTTCCGTCCTACTCTTCTTCTCATAATATGCATCATTGGGTGAATCCTAGATAACGTTAATGACCACAGGCGAATTTACGGGAAGGGAAGAGCTTTCGGGCTCAGGCTCCTCTCAAAATTGTAAAATATAACCATGCTTTATGAAAAAAAAAATTTAAAAAGTATAATTGTTCGCCTGATGTGGGCGGGATAGCCGAATGGACTAACGCGTGTGCACAGCACCGCCGTTGCCCGGCAACCTGATATACCAATCAAATAATATAAAATAGTCACAAGTTCGCGTCCCGGTGCCGAAGGAGTCTTTTAAATCCCCGCCCACACTCCCTGGCCCGGGAAAACCCCGTATAGCCTTAACGGCGAGGAAGGGGAGGACAAAAAAAAAAAATTGTTCGCCTGATTAAATTTAATTAGACATTAAGTTCTTAGTTCATTCGTATAAGTAGTTCGCTTATTTCTTTTTCTTCCAAAGTAATTATCATAATATATATTGAAAAAAAAAAAAGTTCCCTTCCCCCAAATTTCATCCTGGGTCTGTTAGTGTCAATGTCTAATTAGTTCTATGACTAGACTTCGAAGCGTACAAATAAAAATTAAAAAAAAATATAAATTAAGAGAGTTCATTTTATTAAATTACTCCCATAGACAAGCAGTGAAGAGAAAATTCGAATTAGTGGAGGAAATTAAAAAGTATGAACTAAGAAAATTTTGTTATGGGAACTTAAATGTGTACAATTAAAATTAACAATTAGTAGTATCTCTAAGATAACAGTCTTAAAAACGTACATAAATAAAATTTATTCACTTAATCATAATCCTTCAGAGGATTGTAAAATATTCTTCAGCAGTCTTCCTTAATAAAGTTCATTATAGACGTACATTAAAAGTTTTTAAATATAAACATTTATTTAAGCGATTGCGTTACTGGATGAAATCAGGTTAAACGCCATTTAATTATTAATTTGCTTTAAAATATAAATTTTCCATTTAAAGTAAAAACTCTGATAACAATGCCGATAGAAAACTTATTGCTGTTATACATATTGCCCAAGAGTGTGATAGTTTGTATTTAAAAAAAAAAATGTAAATATTTTAAATTTGTATGGAATATATAATTGTAAGTTTGAATTTTTAAAATTGAGTAATCGATGTGTGTGTGAGGGTGGGATACAAAAGGTTCAATATCGATATTGTTGTCAATTAAGGTAGCCAAATAATGGTAAATCCCTAGAGTCAGCATTTTTCTCCTGACTGTATTAATACGCCTCCCTTCCCATCTAGCAGTAGAAGACATTGTTATTCGTAGTAGATAGTTAAAATTAACTACTGATCTACAAGACAATACTGAAACCTATTTGGACTTACGGACTAGAACTGTGGGGATCAGCAAAATTTTCTAACATCAAGCGCATCCAATCCTTCCAGTCTAAAGTCCTTCGAACAATAGTCGATGCTCCTTTCTATGTATCCAACAAAACCCTACATCATGACCTTAACATCCCATTTGTCCTAGACCTTATCCCAGAAAAATTCTCCAAATTTCACCAGAACCTTACTTACCACCCAAATCCTCTTGCACAATCCCTATCAAGCATCTCCCATCCCTATAATCCTCCAAGAAGGTTGAAACGGCAGTGGCCTCGCGACCTTTTGTAGATTATATAAATTGGAGTTCTGGCAATGGCCAGATTCTTCACTCAAGACATGTGTGTATGTGGCTAAAGTGCTCTCGACCAATCTCCGCTGGCTTTAGTCCAGTGACGCGGTTGGGAGAGTAGCGCAGGGTTCTCCTGGAGTTCCCTCGCCTGATTGTATATAGGTATGCATGTTTTTTTTTTTTTTTTTCCTTAGTTTTAATTTTCTTATTTTTTAGGTTATTTTATTTTATTGTCTATTGTATATACTTTTGATTATTATTTTGTTCTATTTATTTTATTTTTTTGTACATATGGTGTGAATGTCATCCTACCTCACTATAACCAATGTCCAACAGACAGGTTGTTATAATACTAAAAAAAAAAAAAAAAAAAAAGTAGATAGTTAAATGCCAATGAAAGTGAAGTTGTTGATTAGCAATAGTATAGTCCCTTTTTATTTTTTTCCTTGTAATCATTTTTGCCAAATAAACTTTTTTTTTTAAGTATCGAATATTTAATTGCCGATGTTAATATCTGCCTATAACTATCGTTATCATCAAAATAATAGTCGATATTTTCGCCAATATTATAAACAATTTTGAAATTTGAACATGAATATAAATATTGTTTATCTAGAACATAGGAGCATCAGAATAGATGTTGTTTTCCTCATTTAATTAATTAAAGAAATAATTATTCAACTCGGCTTAGTAAAATTAATTTTCTAATTCCTGTCCATCTCCGTCAATCTCAGCTTTTTTACTGAAATTTCAATTCAACCAATTATGCTTTCCGTTCATCCTCAGATCGGATTAAGTGAAATTTTAATTTATTTGCATCCTGAATAAATTTCTTTGAAGATCTGTGGCCTTGGTTTGAGAAGGCTCTTACTAACGAATTTGGGCAAAAGAATGGAGAATGGTCCACTTTGGGATGACCATCGACAGTCAACATTATCGATGTTTTCAACTACTACGCACTTCATTACGCATTACGTGAAACAGGCTATAGGAGTATAATTTTTTTCTAACGATCAGATTCATATATAGAGCCTAGAACTTTCCGAAAACGATACTTTTAATTTTATTTTTTAAATACAAATATTAAAATATCGAAGGGACGATATCTATAGTTGATAATATCGAAGTAGATACCATCCATGGTAAAATATCATGGTGGAATATCATAAGAAAAATATCCTTATTTCGATAATATTGACTATCCTTATGTGTGTGTGAGGTGGTGTCTTATTCCTCTTTTTTTCGTTCTATCATCCAAACTGAAAAGGAAGTAGCAATGTAAATTAAACTTATTAATTCAAATTTACATTTTTTTGTCTTATATTTGCATTCTATTTGTTTATGTTTACTATTTTAACGTCATTTATTATTCCCTTTTTATCCTGTTATTCTCATACCTTAATTTATCTTAATTCTCGCTAAGCTAAGCATTCCCTTCAACTTTGCCCGAAACTATCGTTTCCTTTGTCTGGAAAGTCTGCCTAGGACTGTAATATTTTTATTATTTCAATTATTTAATAATGTTTAACTACTTGACCAAGTTATATAAATTTTAAAAAACGAATATAGAAGTTGGAGCTGAAATAGACTAACAGGATCCTGTGCTAACACCACCCACACTAGATTCCTCAAATGACTGAACAGGGAAACCTACACGATTCTCAGAAGGTTGCAAATGTCGACTGTTTAAAATGAGACATAAAAGGATTCAATAAGCATATGTAATGATTGCTAATATTGAGTTATTCCTACTTAGCCAAATGTTAAATATTGTACTTATTGTTAAAATATCAATTAAACCGGTATGGAAATAAAGAATATATAATAAAATAATTAATATTTACTTTTAAAAAAAGAAACTACGAAGTGACCTTTAGACCATACTATAGAAATGACAACATCAACAAGGCGAGATTAATAATTGGAAATATACATTATTTTGTTATTTATTCACAAAGTAATAACATTTACAATGTATATATATATATATATATATATATATATATTTTTTTTTTTTTTGTTCTTCCCTACCTCGCCTTTTAGGCTATACGGGATTTTCCGGGCCGGGGGTGAGGGCGGGGAATTTAAAATCCCCTCCGGCACCGGGATGCGAACTCGTACTTTTTATATCATCTCAAATCTCTGTTATCCGGTTGCCAGGCAACTAGCGGTGCTGTGCACACGCTTTAGCCCATTCG